CCTTTCCCCCAAGGGAAGGACCTACTTCCACGGGGGAATCCCGCCTACCTGACTATCCCCCTCGCCTACACCCCCCTATTCATGGTCTTCTGTTCCATGGGAACAGAAGACCCCCAATTCAGCGGGAGTAAGGTACTTCTTACCGAAAGGGCATCGGAACAAGGACTACAAAGGCGTTCCCACAATGCACCATAAAACCCCCCAATTTTTTTTTATCGCGCAACCCATCAAGTTGACTCATTTTTCATGTAGGCCTACCCTTTCTCCCGCTTGTTTTAAAGCCTCTAGAATTTATGTGTATTACTACGTAAAACACATTGGCGGAAAGATGTATATTTTATATATATACACCGAAACGTCAAAGGTTTTAAATCGCATACTCCCCACCTAAACCCTGATTCCCTGCTCCTTGACTGTTGTTTTCCTCTAGAGGGGCTATGCCAGGTTTTTCGGGTCAGACTTGACTTTCAAAGCCTGTCATTTTCGTATCCCTGGGCCTCCCTCCTTTCGGGCTACTCTTTTTTGCTTTCGAAAATCTCTTTTTTTTCCCTTTGGTTTTTTGTTTTCGTCTTTTTCCAATCTCTACACACTATTTTTTTGCCCCTACCCTTTGGGGAACCAAAGGCTCGTTCGGGTTTTTTCTTTTCCCCTTTGAACAATTTTCCCCCTTTCCCCTTCTTCATTTTCTTGTCAATACCCCATATTTGTTTATGTTTTTTCCTCCAACTCTTTTCCCACTGAACCTCTTGCAGAAAGCTCCTCATCCCCTTTTTAGTTTGGCTTTCCCATCCTACTCCTCTACCCCCCCATTGTAACTTGATGTTTTTTAAAGTCAAAACCCTGAAATCAGTGCCCGGGGGCCCTTTCTTACTGTTTGCCCCGATATCAGAACTACTCGAGGTGAATAAAGGTCCAGTCTTGGGGTTTTAATTCTCACTTTTCTCTCGGGGTAGTGCCCCCCTAAAATGTTGATGCATTAATTTTTTTCCAGTTCCACACCCATCATTTTGGCTCCCATGTTTTGGAGCTCCTGGTCTCCAGGTTTTCCCAAATCAGTCACTTGTATTGAAATCACCCATAACAGTAACTTGTTCTTCCCATTAGCTCTTCTGGCCACCTCAGTGTGTATCCATCATTGCTCTGTTTTCTCTCTTCATATTCCTTGGTCCGCAGTTTTTGGGGGGTTGTACATCATGCAATTTTCCACCTTAGGGCCCCCAGACGAATTTTTCCTACTGTTGTCTCTTTTGCCCATTCCATTCATCCTTCCATTTTCCCCCAATCCCCACCAATTTTTTTTACCAGTGCAGCTCCTCCCTCTCTGCTCCCTTGTTTTTTCCCCAGGGTCTGATATCCGGTGGAAAAATTGCTTTTTTATCAACCCCGGGGATTTTTTTTTTTCTGTGAGGCTGTGATGTTGGGGGGATGTCTCCTTGTGTGGGGGTTTTGTGGGTGTGACTCACCAATTTTTACTCACCTAATTGTGGTTGCAGGGGGGGCGAGGGCTCAGCCCTGGCCCGCCCTTCACTGTCGCTCTGGGTCCCCTCTCCTCGCTTCCTGACTTTGTCATACCTCTTCTTAAAACTATTATGGTTTTCCTGCCTCCACTACTTCACTTGCTACTATTCCCCTTTCTGACAACTCTATGACTGAAGAATACTTCCTAAAGTCCTGGACTCGCTGAGTCTTCAGCTTCCAGTTGTGACCCCTTGTCCCTGTTCCCCCCTCTGGGAAATCCTATCTCTTCCCCTTGTTATTCCCCGCATTCTTTTAAAGTCTTACATTCTCCCCGACCCCCTTTTGTCCTCCAGTGTGTCGTCCCCCCGTTTCCCTTAACCTTTCCTCGTACGACATTCCCTTGAGCTCTGGGATGCCTTGTTGCAAACCTTTTTTATTTTTCTAACTTCTTGACGTGCTTTACCCGGTGTGGGTTCCAACTGGTGCTGCATACTCCGTATGGGGGTAACTACACAGTTACATGGCTTGAACGATTCCTATTAAGGGGATCGGAAGTATTCTCAGGGGTTTTCCGGCGCCCGTAGCTGCAGCGGTTATTTGGTTGATGTGTGCCCCCGGTGATGTGCTTGGGGTTTTGGTACCCCCGGTCTTTCTCCCTGATAGGTCTGTAGCTTTGCCACCTAGCCCTATACTCTGTCTGCGGTCTTCCTTTTGCCCCTCCCCCAAACTTTATGATTTGCATTTGCTGGATTGAATTCGAGAAAAAACCCCTTTTCTGGACCAATGTCCGCCTCCCAGGTCTCTTTGCAGTCCTGCCTCATCCTCGTCCGATTTAATTCTTCTCTCAACTTAGTCATTGCGAACAGGGACATTTCAGAGTCTTTTCCTTCCATCATGCGTTCCATATATAAAAATAGCATGGTCCTAAACTGACCCCTGGGGGACCCCGCTGTAACAGGCCCCCCACGTGATACCTCTTCACGTACCATGACTCGTTGCGCCCCCCGGGCAGGTATTCCTTATCCATTGAAGTGCCCCTTTCCTTTTACTTGCCTGATCCTCCAGCTTCTGCACTAATCTCTTGTGGGGAACTGTGTCAAAGGCCCTTTCCCGCATCTAGGAAAACGCAAACTACCCAACCCCCTCTCTATGCACTTCTGTTACCTTGTCATAAAAATCCAGGAGGTTTGTGAACAAGATTTGGGCCCTTCCATGAAAACCCCGCTGGTTTTTCATTTTAATCTGTTCCTTTCCGGGGGTTTTACCACTTCCTCCTGAAACT